CTATCACTTCAGCTCAGATATGTGAGGCAACTTGACCTTGAGTTTGAGTTGACCAACGGCCACTCAATCCTGTTTGAACTAAATGGGTCTGGCCTTCATACTGACATTAATTTTAGATCATCTATGGGTAAATCACACCTGAACAAATGAGATTACATTTTATATTGGAAATAAAATAATATATAGCTAGATTACCACTGTTTCAGGCTGGAATGACGTCTGACATTAATTTTTAGCAGCTGGAATGCATTCCCCAAATGGCAAAGCATACCTTGGCCTCTACCACCCTGAAACTCAGCCAGTTTCTAAAGGTCTTCTAATAGAAAACAGTGAGATATTTCTTAAGGGTGGTCCTGAAAGCATAATTTGGAGTTGATTCTAATCCTAGCAGTGACCTATGTTAGGCAACACCTTGGATAGTGCTCAGTCCCCGATGACCTTCAGTCTTCTTATTTTTTTTCAGAGCATAAACTATTGACCCTAACACAAAAGGAAAACTCTAGACATCATGTTACTGAATTCGAGATCTCAGAGTCTTGAACAGGGTTGTTCATAGCCCAGTAACTAGGCTAGCTCTTTCAGAACTCTTTCTTGATTTCCAATTCAAAATGAGCTTTTAAAATTCATGGCATACTATTTGCTTTAGGCAAGTGGAAACAGGGATGAGTTATGAGAATGGGACACATGTTCACAGCTTTCTTATGTTAACTCCTGTCTCATTCCCTGAAATAGACCAGCCTGCCAGTGTAGATGAAGAGGGGCTGTTCCTATTGGAGCAGAAGCTTTCCCGAGCCAAGACCCAGATCAACAGCCAACTGAGGCCCATGATGTCAGAGCTGGAAGAGAGGGCACGCCGGCAGAGGGGCCACCTCCATTTGCTGGAGACAAACATAGATGGGATTCTGGCTGATGTGAAGAACTTGGAGAACATTAAGGACAACCTGCCCCCAGGCTGCTACAATACCCAGGCTCTTGAGCAACAGTGAAGCTGCCATAGAGATTTCTCAACTGAGGCTCTTGCGATACAGACCTCAGGACTCAGGAGCCATGTCATGTGGGTGGATGGGGACATTTGAACATGTTTAATGGATATGCTCAGGTCAACTGACCTGACCCCATCCCCGAACCTGTGGCCAGGTGGTTGTCTTATTGCACCAATATGATACTCCTTACTTCCTGTTGCTGGGCAGTGAGGCAGATAACACTGCGTGTGAGACCGACCAAGGATCTGGACCCCAAAGAATAGACTGGATGGAAGGACAAACTGCACTGGCAGATGTTTGCCTCAGAATGGTTATAAATGAAGTCCTGGAATTTGGACAAGTACTGTTGGATTATAGTCAATTTATTCTTGAAGTAAAGTGACTAAAGGGAAAAACTTTGACTTTACGCAGGCATAAAATTCTTCCTAATGTCAGAACAGCGTGCAACCCAGTCACGCTGTGGCCAGTCAAATACTATTGCCTCATATTGTCCACTGCAAGCTTCTTGCTGATCAGAGTTCCTCCTACTTACCACCCAGCATGTGAACATGTTCTCCACTTTCAAGCTGGAAGAAGTGAGCAGTGTTGGAGTGAGGACCTGTAAGGCAGGCCCATTTCGAGCAGTGGTGCCTGCTCGTGCCTGCCACCTTCAGGTTCTGGACCTGGGCATGATATCCTTTCTCTTAATGATGCCATGGCAACTTAGAGATTGCATTTTTATTAAAGCATTTCAAAAGCAAAGCAAATATCGGGAAGGCATTTACTTTTTCGGTTTCAAAGTGATAGAAAAGTGTGGCTTGTGCATTGAAAGGTAAAATTCTCTAGATTTATTAGTCCTAATTCAATCCTACTTTTCAAACACCAAAAATGATACGCATCCATGTATTTTACTGTGTTTTCTCAATCTCCCCTCTCTTCCCTTTACCCATAACAGAGAATGTTCCTACTCACACTTCAGCTGGGTTACATCCATCCCTCCATTCATCCTTCCATCCATCCTTCCATCCTCCATCCATCCTTCCAACATATATTTATTGAGTAACTACTGTGTGCCAGGGGCAGGTGGTACAGTGTTGACATAGTCTCTGCCCTCATAGAGTTGATTGTCTAGTGAGGAAGACAAGCATTTAAAAAAAAATAAATTTAAACTTACAAACCTTGTTTGTCACAGTAGTGTTTATTGCAATAACGGCTGGTTTGCAACCTCTTTGCTCAACAGAACATATGTTGCAAGACCCTCCCATGGGGGCACTTGAGTTTTGGCAAAGCTGAGAGAGCTCTGGGTGGTGCACATTTCTTTGCATTCCAGCTGTCACTCTGGAACTACAGCTGATTGCAACAGACTGTTGAGTCATGATAACAACAATGGGAATTGCTGGGGAAACCAGAGGTACTTCCACCTCGGCTGGGGAGACCATGGTGCGGCCTTGCTTCTGTGTTTCCTTGGATCTTCCTGAATATACTTTTAAATAAAGAACAATTGTCAGATGGCTGGGGTCCGTTTCTGATTTACTAACTCTAAGCCTATGATGGAAGTATCAAAGCAATAGAAAGGAAAATACCACAGAAATGGCAATAGGTCCTAGAGTTAGCATCTTCATTTCCTACTTCTGAGCATCTTGCTTTGCCCTTTCCAACCATAGAGATTGATGATGCTGTCAATGGGATTTTATGAGGTTTAACTGATGCTGTCTCCTAAGCATAAAGATTTATTTCTAGAACAACTCTGGCTGGGGGGTGGGGTGGTGGTGGTGGGGGGGGGCATAATTAACATTCTTATCTTTTTCATCAATTATAAAATGAAGGTAAAATTAATAGTTTGTGGTGCATATGTCATGCTTTTTAAGAAGTTAAAATGTACTAAATTAAGATCTTGAATTGGCCCTCTATCCAAGTGGCTGAGGAAAGAATTCTACTTGTGTCCACATTGACCCCCAAATTCTGATGGGTCTGATCACTTTGCTTTACCTTCCATGAAGATGAATTTGTAATCCTGTCTTGACATACCCAATTACACATTCTACAGATCTTTTGCTGTAATTAATGACCAGTTTCCAGAAAATGTATATGTGCTATTAATTAGGATTTGCTGCTATATGACAAAGGCATAAAAATATGAAATAAACACAATAGACTTTTTTCTTCATCCCATAATAGATTGGGTGGGCAACAGGATGGCAGGTGGCCCTCCACAGTCATTTCAGAGGGCCTGCCATTTCTAACATGTGACTTCTAAAGTTGCCTGGGGGATGGAGGGTTGTGGCCATTCCAGCTGGTTGTCACTAGCTGACAGAAAGGGAAAAGAACATGGAGAAAGGAGACACATAGGAAGGCCAGGCTTTGAAGGGCCTCATATGCCATTGTCCAAAACCCAGCACAATGATCACATCTACCATGCAAAGGGGTCTAGAAGATGTAGTCCCATGTTAGGAAGCCACTTCTCAGTGACAATTCTACATTATGAAAGGAGAAAATGCATTGTCAGTGATTGACTGTCTTTTCCAAGTGTAAGATTAGACAGTACATGATCTAGGAAACTTGATGAGGGATCCCATTAGTTAATAACCATGGTATGTGCAATCATAAAAGGATTCCTCAATGGGATAGATTGTTTAAAAAGTCTTCCCTGACAAATGGGAGATGACACCTGAGTACAGATGGAAATAGAAGAATGCCTTATGAGACTCTCCTTGGTGTAGAAATAATTCTCTCTTTTCTGAGGACCTGAAAAGTTATCCCTAAGAAGAGAGAAGGGGATGTGGCTTCCCTAGGACCTAGCCTCATGTTGTCAGTCCTTAAGCTGACCCTGCCAAGATAAGGAAGCTTTCCTTCTGATTTCTTTTCAATATTAGTAGTTCATAGCAAAGCTTTCTGTACTTCTCTTCTGAGAGCTTATGGTTAATCATGCCGTTGGTAGGCTATTACATACATCTTCATCTGCTTTAACTCTTACGGACTTCTGTTTGGAAAGAGGGGTGGAAATGAAACTACCCATAGACTATAACTTCTTAGCAGACGTATTTCTGGTCTTCTCTGATGATGTGGTTCCTTGTCAGTGCTCTCCAGCACTTCTCTCAGCTTCTTAGCAGGCTGAAGAAGGATAAGAAGACACTCAGTAATAATATTCAATGTTTTGAACAAGTCTCAAGGGCCAGGAATATGTTTATCATGTCTTTTAATGTTTTGCATGGTGATGGAAATGTTATGGATTCTTGCTGTGGTTCAGTTTTCCCACCTGGAGAATATAGATTAGAATTTTTCTGTCCTTTCTTTATACTATTGGCTACATGGAACTCTCTAGGAAATCCAAAGATCTAAAGCTTACATATAAGTCATAAGGGAAGAAATGTGTATGTGTACATAGGTTAATTCATATTGAGCATATATTTTAAAGTTAGCAAATTAAACCAATGTTTATATTTTGTTTTAAATGAGCTCTCAGCTGGGCATGGTAGCCCAATGCCTGCAATCCCAGCACTTTGGGAGGCTGAGGCAGGCAGATCACCTGAGGTCAAGAGTTTGAGACCAGCCTGGCCAACATGACGAAACCCCGTCTCTACTAAAAATACAAAAATTAGCTGGGTGTGGTGGCAGGCACCTGTAATTCCAGCTACTCTGCAGGCTGAGGCAGAAGAATCTCTCTAACCCAGGAGGCGGAGGCTGCAGAGAGCTGAGATTGCACCACTGCACTGCACCCTGGGCAACAAGAGTGAAACTGTGTCTCAAAAAAACAAAACCGAACCAAAACAAAAAAAACAACCAACCAACCAGCAAACAAAAAACAAATAAATGAGCTCTCATCATTATGTACTCTCAGGACAAGGGAAGAAAAACAGAAAATGAATCTGACAAACAGCTAATCCTTCAACAAGCTGGCCTAACAGGGAATTACTGTCTCTGGAAACCGTTTGTTCTAAGCACATTTTTACAACTGTTGTCTCCTGTCAAGTAAGATTATGAAGAAAAAGTGATTAATGCTGCAAATCACAGAGAAGGTTCTAGACCAAGACACAAGAGTCTAGTAGCATTGTCTTATTTATTAACATAATTGAAACATTTTGCATAAAACTCTTGCCCATGACTATTCTAGCAACAAAATTTTACTCAAAATATTTCACTGTGAAATGGTATTGCAACTTGAATATCATTTTTTATTAATGAATTGATTTCCATAAAGCAAATCTTACTCTTAAAATGGCAGATTATGTGTTCAAAAAGTGATTCAAAAAAAGCTTCCCCCTCCCCATGCCAACCCTCGAGACCATGGGGATCCAGCTGAATCCTCAGCCCCAGGACTAGACTCAGATGGAGGGAAAGAGCCATTAACTCATTCCTAACCAGAACAGGCTAATAGGACACTCCAATCTCACGCTACAAAGAGACCACATGAAGAGGCGAGCGCACAGGGCAGCCATAAGAAGGTGAAGACTGAATGAATCTGGCAGAGTATATTCTCGCCATTACTACAGTGCTATTCCTAAGGTGTCCTAACTGTATGAGCTACAAAATCGGTCCCTGTTTCCATTCTTCCCATCTCACCTGCTGGCTCTCCTGCAGTAGGTAGCCTTGGGAGAGATCCTGAGCTTTTCATATTCTATTATTTTTGCATTACTGTTTGGATGAGTAAAATGTAATAACATGCTTCTCTCTCTTAGTCCCCTAAAAGTGTGTGTGTGTGTGTGTGTGTGTGTGTGTGTGTGTGTGTGTGTGTATGAGAGAGAGAGTTTGGGGAGAGTAGGTTGGGCTGCTAAAGTACAAGTTGTTTCTCCCTGTAATTCTCTTTTGCTGTACTTCAGTTATTGAGTCTCACTTTCTACTTAATTTGAACAGCAAGTTCTTTAATTCTTTCTGAGAAGCCAGAGCTTGAAACTAGAGAACACTGTTGAAAGGCTGGCCAAGCTGAGACAGGAAGAACGGCATCTCTAGAAGCTCTAGCTTTGGGTTTCAGGCACTTCAGTAAGAGACTTTTCCCCACTGTTCCTATGTACATTCAAGGAAAATGAAAGCAAGAGGCTCTAGAGGCTACCAGGGTTGGGGGGGTGTGACTGAGGTACCCACTAGCAGCACAGCCCTCCCAGAGGACCATTCCTTAAGGACAGTCATTGACAAAAAGGGTTTTCCTCCTGCCTGTTCTTACATTAGCCACTTTCAGAAAAATGGGAGGGACACTTTTTGCTGGTGGGCAGGAAACAAAGCTCCAGACCCCTCGGGACACGATTGTTCCAGTTCATGCCTTTCACACAACCTCTGAGCCATGCCAGTCTTGGATTGGGCTTTACAGGAAGGAGCAGGATCCCAGAGGCGAAGTCAGGGCCCAGAGGTTATCCTATTGGCACGTGGGGCACCACTTCAGACTCTGAATCATCTTTCTGGTATTGGTTGTGGCTGGGTCACGGTCACAGCATCCTGTTCTGGATTCTGTTGTACTCTGACCTTTTCCCAGCAAATAAAGAGTAGGGTGGAGTGGGGAATGGACGATTCTACCCCAAAAAAGATTCACTTTCTTTTTATATTAAATAGGACACCTGTTTTTAGTACAGGCCTGTACTTCATTCCTAGAAATCTACTTCATTCCTGGAAATCTACTTCTATGGCACCTGTTCTTTGTCTTGATTCATCTCACCTTCCCTCTCCACTCGCACATGCCTTCCGACCGCACGCTAAGAGGGCAGAGTGTAGGCCAAATGCCGACTGACAAGAGCTTAGTAACAGAGTGGACCAAAGAAATAAAATAAATCAAGCCTTCCTCAGGTCTGCTCATGTGGATCCTCATAAATTCCACCCTTAACTCCAGGTCGTTAAACAAGCCATGTTTCCCCAGGAAATTCAGGCTCCTGTTTTCCTTTGTTTCATTTCCTGGCTTATGACTGTTCTGCCTGGACAAAGGCTCTTCCATCTTTCTTTCTCCAGCAGTAGTATCATCCTGAGCACTCTCTGGGTCTTCCTTCACCTTCCACAAAGCAATTCTTTCTTGGATTCACAGAATCAGTTTCTGGGATTTCCTTCAAGCTGTTGAGATCTCTTTATTTCTAAAGGAAACCTAGCAGTGGCCTTCCTTACCGTCACACCCTCCCCTGGGACTGACATTACTAGCCTGTGTGTGAGGAGCACCTGGAACAGACATAATTTAAGAGAAAGATGCCAGGATAAGGTTTGGGAAGTGTAGAAATCACATTGGCACCTGGTCAGCAACATGAGGAAATGGAGAGTATGTTATGATGGCCTAGGTGTCAGGGAAACAATATCCTCTTGTCAGGGCCTATACCTGCTGGCTGACCTGGACCAGCCATTTAATCTCATGGGCCTCTGCTCCCTCACCCTTTAAAGGAAAGTGTTGGATCAACTGAACTCACAAGTTTTTTTCAGTTTATTATTTCATGATCCCTAGTCAAACACTGAGACCCAAAAATAGGATTTTCCTTCCTTCCTCTGAAGATTATTTCAAAAAATCCAAGAGGATTAACAGACCTTTTGGATGCTGCTGTATCATGTTCTTCTGGTAAATCAAGTTCCTTTTCCTGCAATTGAAGGATGTTGCAGATGTGAAATGTGTGGTAAAGATTATTATCTTTGCTTTCAAGTCTCACCTGGACCCTCCTGGCCATAGCTGGTACTCGATTTTGATAAAAGAATCCTAGCACTCAAGGACTATTTCTCAAAGGCCAGAAACCCAAGAGCCAGAGACTGGATGAGAGACACAAAGCTCAACAGAGCAATTTCCTTATGGCTCTCAGGACATGCGTGAGACCCTAATAACCTGGCAAAACTCTCTGCGGGAGCAGAAAGGAAGGTAGAAAATTCGTGGAAAAAGGAGTGAAACAACTTAGTGGCTCCTGACCCCTCCTAGATCTCCCTTCTGGGAACCCACTCCTCTGTTAAGGAGATTTTCTCAGACAGTTCCTGCAGCTTCTGGGCTCTGCAGGGGCTAGAACCAACCACAGAAACAAGGCTAAGGCACTGCTTCTCAAGAAGGAGCTGACCCCAGGCACTGTCTGAGTTACCTCAGCTGGAGAGGGTGAAAATCGTTCAGTTATCATCAGGGCAACAAATTGCTTTCTCTTAGGTCATCCGGGACTTACAAGATGGAAGAGACTTTTCCCAGCCCTACAGATAATAAATAATTCCAATTAGCAAGGACCTCCAGGATTGAGTGGATTCCTAGTATTTTTTTTTAAAGACATGACTGTGTGATCTGGATCAGGTCCTGCCTGTGTGATTCTTCTCAGACGCAGGAATGTGTCTAAGCATGGCCTCCGATGGTCCCTTGGAAATCCCTGGCTGGTAGGGAACTCGCACTGTGCCATCAGCTACAGCTCACAAAAGTAAACGAACAGATGCCACCAGGAAATGAGGATGGACTGGCTGTGTGTGATCATAGCTCAGAGCATGAGGGAAATGGTCCTTTGAAACTAAGGAAATAGATTCAAATTTTTCTGAGAAAACCCAGATTTGCCTCCCAGGTTTCAGAACCTGAAAATCTCAATCCTGATCAGAAGTTGCTGCTGCTGCTGCTGCTGCTGCTACTGCTGTGTGTGTGTGCACGTATCTGCGTGTGTGTGTGTGTGTGTGTGTGTGTGTGTGTGTGTGTGTGTGTTACTAGAGAAGTGGAGGTTGCTTGGCCTTCTCTACTGGGTGTGGCCCTGATGCACTCACTGAGTGCTGAGGCTGGCTACAGTGTCCTATCAGAGGGGAAGTAATACCACAGGAGCACATCAAGACTACGAACATAAAGAACCATGGACTGATTTCATCTGAGTTCTACAAGGAGTGAACAAAGAAAAACGAAAGAAAAGAAAAATAGCCCTTTGTAGTAAAGGGCATGCTGGGAAGGCGAGAGCCAGAGCTGCCTCCCCAGAGCATGCTGGGAGGATGGGCACCAGAGCCGCCTCCCCAGAGCATGCTGGGAGGATGGGCACCAGAGCCGCCTCCCCAGAGCATGCTGGGAGGATGGGCACCAGAGCCGCCTCCCTAGAGCATGCTGGGAGACGGACACCAGTACCTCTCCAAGGACTGCGCTTCCCCTGACTCCCACCCCATTCCCTCACCCACCCCCAACCCGGAGACTAGAGGAAAGTCTGTCCAAAGACGACTGTGGAATAGGGAATGCCATGGTTCTCTGCAGATCCCCACACTATGGGGGGTTAAGTCAGCAAGTAGGGAAAACAGTCAAGACGAGGAGATGGAGAAACAGAAAGGTAGGAGAGAAACAGGGGGCTGACAGAAATGGAGGGGCCACTGTGCTGGCGGAGGAGGAAGGGAACGTGGAGCCGAGCGCTGTGTAACTGCTAGCCGGAGGCATTGATGTACAGCTGGCTTTTGAGGATGTAGTCGATGACCGGCTGGGACAGGTAATCCACAACATGGCCGTCCCCATGCTGCAGGGCCAGCCTGCACAAGAAGAGACGTCAATCAGATGGACATTCACACCCAAAGCAAGCCAGGAGGACTGGCCTCACCCCTGTCTCCCCAACCCCCCATTTCTAGCCTTTGCTCAGGTTGAGTAAATGGTTCTGTATTAGGAAATGCCCTCTTGCCTCCACAACTCTTTCCCCACTTTGGTAATGCCATTTGTAGTGGTTCTGTCACTTCCTAGGTGACAGGCCTCGAGCAAGTTATTTAAGGCCCTCTGTTCTTCAGCTTTTTCCCTGTAAAATGAGGGTAATATCTGGGCCACTCTCATTTCATTTTTCAAAGGATTAAATGAGTCATTATGCAAAGCACTTAAGAGAGCACCAGACAGAGCACCAGCATCTAAGGTATTTACTGTTCTTTTTTGTCATATAAATTGTACTGTTTATATTTAAGTCATGCAATCTGATGTTGTAAGATACATGTATATTATCGTATAATATAGTATATTGTTATATATTTTTTATGATTTATATATTATACTATATATTAGTGTTAATATATTATTTATATAACAGTATTACTATTTTATATATTATAGTTTAATTTAGTGGAACAAATTAATATATCCATCATCTCACTCAGATACCTGTTTGTTCTTCTTGTGGTGAGAATACATATAATCTAATTTAGCAAAAATCCTAAATACAATACACTATTATTAGCTATCATATTCATGTCATACATTAGCTCTTTCAACTTGTTTGGCCTACATTTTTGCTGCTTTGTATCCTTTGACCAATATCTCCCCATTTTCTGCCCTCCACACTTGACCCTGGTCATCACTGTTTTGTTCTCTGTGTATTTAAGATTCCACATGTAAGTGACATCATGCAATATTTTTCTTTCTGAGTCTAGCTTATATCACTTGGCAGAATGTCTTCCAGGTCCAGCCAAATTGTGGCAAATGGCAGGATCTCCTTTTTTAAGTCTGAATAATATTCCTGTGTGTGTGTCTGTCTGTCTGTGTGTCTGTGTGTACACTACATTTTCTTTATTCATCCATTGATGGACATCTAGGTTGTTTCCATATCTTGGCTACTGTGAATAATGCTACAATGAACTTGGAAATGCAGATATCTTTACAAGGTAGTGATTTCATTTCCTTTGGGTATATACCCAGAAGAGGGATTGCTGGGTCATACAGCAATTCCATTTTTAATCTCTTTAGGAACCTCTATACTGTTTTCTGTAATGGTTGTACCAATTTACATTCCAACCAGCAGTGTACTAGGGTTCCCTTTCTCCACACTCTCATCAACATTTTTATCTCTTGTCCTTTTGATAATAGCTATTCTTTTTTTTTTTTTTTTTTTTTTTTTTGAGACGGAGTTTCGCCCTTGTTACCCAGGCTGGAGTGCAATGGCGCGATCTCGGCTCACCGCAACCTCCGCCTCCTGGGCTCAGGCAATTCTCCTGCCTCAGCCTCCTGAGTAGCTGGGATTACAGGCACGTGCCACCATGCCCAGCTAATTTTTTGCACTTTTAGTAGAGACGGGGTTTCACCATGTTGACCAGGATGGTCTCGATCTCTCGACCTCGTGATCCACCCGCCTCGGCCTCCCAAAGTGCTGGGATTACAGGCTTGAGCCACCGCGCCCAGCGCGATAATAGCTATTCTAATAGGTGTGGGGTAGAATCTCATAGTGGTTTTAAATTGTATTTCCCTGGTGATTAGTGATGTTAAGCATCTTTTCATGCATGTGTTAACAATTTTTATGTCAATCTCTGGAGAGATGTCTACTCAAGTCTCTGGTGTGTGTCTGTGTGTGTGTGTGTGTGTTTTTGAAAGAGTCTCACTCTGTTGCCGAGGGTCAAGTGCAGTGTGCAATCATGGCTCACTGCAGCCTCAAACTCCTAGGCTCAAGCAATCCTCCTGCCTCAGCCTCTCAAGCAGCTAGGACATCAGGTACGTGCTACTCGGCTTGGTTAATTTTTTTTTTTTGGCGGGGGGCAGAGGGGTGGTAGGGGTACAAACAGAGTCTCAGTATGTCTGTAACTCCTGGCTTCAAGCAATCCTTCCATCTCAGCCTCCTAGTGTGCTGGGATTTATAGGTATGAGCCATCACACCCTTCCCCTTTGCCCAGTTTTTAATTGTTTTCTTGATATTGAGTTGTGTACGTTTTTAAAATAAATCTTGGATATTAATCCCTATCTAATACATGATTTGAAAATATTTTTTCTCAACCCATAGGTTGCCTTTTAACTTTGTTGATTGTTTCCTCTGCTGTAGAGAAGCTTTTAAGTTTGAAGTCTCCCTCCTCCCGCTCTTTCCTCCCTCCCCTCCTTTCCCCTCCCCTCCCTCCCCTCTCCTTCCCTTCCCTTCCCTTCCTTTTGTAGCCTGTGCTTTTGGTGTGACATCCAAGAAATAATTGCCAAGATCAATGTCAAGGAGATTTTCCCCTGTGTTTTCTTCTGGGAGTTTTATTGTTTCAGGTCCTTTATTCATTTTGAGCTGAGTTTTGTGACTGACGTCAGATATGGTCCAAATTCATTCTTTTGCATGTAGAAATCCAGTTTTCCCAGCACCATTTATTGAAGAAACTATCCTCTCTTTATTGTGTCTTTTTGGTACCCTTGTCAAAAATCAGTTGACCATATATGTTTGATTTATTTTTGGTCTCACTATTCTGTTCCACTGCTCTATGTGTCTGTTTTTATGCCTATATCATATTATTTTGATTACTATAACTTTAATTTTTTTTTTTTTTTTTTTTGAGACGGAGTTTCGCTCTTGTTACCCAGGCTGGAGTGCAATGGCGCGATCTTGGCTCACCGCAACCTCCGCCTCCTGGGTTCAGGCAATTCTCCTGCCTCAGCCTCCTGAGTAGCTGGGATTACAGGCACGTGCCACCATGCCCAGCTAATTTTTTGTATTTTTAGTAGAGACGGGGTTTCACCGTGTTGACCAGGATGGTCTCGATCTCTTGACCTCCTGATCCACCCGCCTCAGCCTCCCAAAGTGCTGGGATTACAGGCTTGAGCCACCGTGCCCGGCAACTTTAATATAATTTTAAATGAAGAAGTGTGATGCCTTCAACTTTTTTTTTCTCATAATTGCTTTGGCTATTCAGGGTATTTTGCAGTTCTGAGCAAATTGTAGGGTTGATTTTTCTATTTCTGTGAAGTATGAATGCCCCGATTGGGATTTTGATAAATGGGGGATTTATTAAATCTTTTTTTTATTTTTTAGAGAAAGAATAAGAAAAAGAATAAAGAAGAGAAAGAAAGAGAAAGAGGAAGAGGGAGAGAAGATGGGGGTATTGCTTTATTGCCCGGGCTAGAATGCAGTCTAAATATGGGTATGTCTATAATTGTCCTTAATAATGGAGACATGAAAGAAAATGAGGGAAGAGAATAACAAACAAGGAGCCAACCAACATTTCGTTTAAACTTCTAAGTTGATATGATGTGGTACTGATAAGAGTGTATATTTTGTGTATTTAAAGTGGAGAGTTCTATAAATGCTAATTATGTTTACTTGTTCCAGATCTGAGTTCAAGTCCTAGATATCGTTGTTAATTTTGTGTCTCATTGATCTAATATTAATGTTGAAGTCTCCCACTATTATTGTGTGGGAGTCTAAGTCTCTTTATTAGTCTTGTATGTCTGAGTGTTCCTGTATTGGGTGCGTGTATATATATAGGATCTTTAGCTCTTCTTGTTGTTGCATTGATCCTTTTATCATTATATAATGTCCTTCTTTGCTTCTTTTGATCTTTGTTGCTTTAACAACTATTTTATCAGAGGCAAAAATTGTAACTTCTGCTTTTTATTTATTTATTTTAGCTCTCTGGTTGGTTGGTAAATCTTTCTCCATCCCTTGTTTTGAGTCTTTGTGTATCCTTGAATGTGAGATGGGTCTGGATGCAGCATACTGATGGGTTTTAGTTTTTTATTCAAATTGCCTGTCTGTCTTTGGATTGGGGGATTTAGTCAATTTAAATTTAGAATTAATAATGATGTATGTGAGTTTAATACTGTCATTTAATATTAGCTGGCTATTTTGCCCATTAGTTGATGTAAATTCTTCATTATATTGATGCTCTTTACTTTTTGGTATTTTTCAGAAAGGCTGATACTGTTTCTTCCTTTCTATGTGTAGTGGTTCTTTCAGAAGCTCTTGTAAAGCAGGCCTGGTGGTGATGAAATCTGAGTGCTTGCTTGTTCACAAAAAACTTTATTTTTCCTTCACTTATGAAGCTTAGTTTGGCTAGATGTGAAATTCTTGGTTGAAAGTTCTTTTCTTTAAGGATGTTGAATATTGGTCCCCACTCTTCTGGCTTGTAGGGTTTCTGCTGAGAGATCTGCTGTAAGTCTGATAGGCTTCCCTTTGTGGGTAACCTAACCTTTCTCTCTGGCTGCCTTTAGTATTTTCTCCTTCATTTCAACCCTGGTGAATCTGACGATTATGTGCCTTGGAGTTGCTCTTCTTGAGTAGTATCTTTGGAGTGTTCTCTGTATTACCTGGAGTTGAATATTATCCTGCCTTGCTAGGTTGGGAAAATTGTCCTGAATAATATCCTGAAGCAATAAGTATTTTCCAGCTTGGATTCATTCTCTTCGTCACACTCAGGTACACCTATCAAGCGTAGATTAGATCTTTTCACATAGTCCCATATTTCTTGGAGACTTTGCTCGTTCCTTTTTATCCTTTTTTCTCTAATCTTGTCTTCTTGTTTTATTTCACTGAGTTGGTCTTCGACCTCTGAGATCCTTTCTTCTGCTTGATCAATTTGGCTGTTAAGACTGGTGCATACTTCACGTAGTTCTCGTGTTGTGTTTTTCAGCTCCATCAATTCACTTATATTCCTCTTTAAATTGTGTATTCTTGTTAACATTTCGTCAAACCTTTTTTCAAAGTTCTTAGTTTCTTTGGATTGGGTTAGAACAAGTTCTTTTAATTCACAGACGTTTCTTATTATTCACATTTTTTTTTTTTCTTTTGAGACAGAGTTTCCCTCTTGTTACCCAGGCTGGAGTGCAATGGCACGATCTCGGCTCACCGCAACCTCCGCCTCCTGGGTTCAGGCAATTCTCCTGCCTCAACCTCCTGAGTGGGTGGGATTACAGGCACGCGCCACCATGCCCAGCTAATTTTTTTTTTTAGTATTTTTAGTAGAGACGGGATTTCACTATGTTGACCAGGACGGTCTCGATCTCTCGACCTCGTGATCCACCCGCCTCGGCCTCCCAAAGTGCTGGGATTACAGGCTTGAGCCACCGCGCCCGGCCTATTATCCACATTTTGAAGCCTGCTTCTGTAATTGGAACACACTGGTTCTCCATCAAGCCTTGTTTTGTTGCTGATGAGGAACCGTGATCCCCTGCTGAGGGAGAGGCATTCTGATCTTGGGTATTCTCAGCCTTTTTTGGCTGTTTTCTTCCCTTTGTTGTAGATTTATCCATCTGTGGTCTTTATAATTACCGTCTTTGTAATTGGGTTTCTGAGTGGACATCCAACTTATTGATTCTCAGCGCCGAAATCTGAGCAACCCACTGTGCCGACTAAGTCAGTGGCGTAAAGATTGATGGTGCTTTTCTGACTCTGCACCAAGAACCGACGCTCTGAGGCGCCGGCAAAACCGCCTCGCTGGTCAGAAGAGTCGCGCTGGCGACCCGTGGGGCTCCTCCGCTGGGAATCTCCTGGTGTGTGAGCAACAAGAATTCATGTAAAAGTGTGGCGTCCTCTCGTGCTTTGTGCTTTCACTGGGCGCTACAATCCCGAGCTGCTAGTGATCAGCCATCTTGGATCTCTCTCTATTAAATCTTTATATTGCCTTAGATAGTATGGACATTTTAGCAATATTAACTTTTCTGATCTATGAACATGAAATACTTTTCATTTATTTGTGTCATCTTCAATTTCTTTCATCCACGTTTTATACTCTTCAGTGTACAGATTTTTCACTTCCTTGGTTAAATTTATTCCTAAGGGTTTTTTTTGGTTTGTTTATTAGGTTTTTTCAGACAGAGTCTCACTCTGTCACCCAGGCTAAAATGCAATGGTGGATCTTGGCTCACTGCAGCCTCGGCCTCCTGGGTTCAAGCGATTCTCTTGTCTCAGCCTCCTGAGTACTAAGATTACAGGCACATGCCACCACACCCAGCTAAATTTTGTATTATTATTAGAGAATAGGTTTCACCATGTTGGCCAGGTGATCTCAAACTCCTGACCTCTAGTGATCCGCTCACCTCAGCCTCCCAAAGTGCTAGGATTACAGGCGTGAGCCACCATGCCCAGCTCTCTAATTGCTGTTGATAGTACTTTCAGTACTATGTTGAATAGAAGTGGAGAGAGTGGGCATTCTTGCTGTATACCAGATCTTAGAGGAAAAGCTTTCATTTTCTCCCCATTGATTTTAATGTTAGCTACCGGTTTTTGGTTTTTTTTTAGTGGCCTTTATTGTGTTGAGGAACTTTCTTTCTATAGTTAAACTGTCAAAAATCTTTATCAAGAAAGGATGTTAAACTTTGTCCAATGCTTTCTCTGCATCAATTGATATGGTCATGTGGTTTTTATCTTTCAGTCTATTCATGTGATGTATCATATTGGCTGATTTTCACATGTTAAACCAGCCTTGTGTGCCAGGGATAAATTCTACTTGATCTGATATATAAGCTTTATGTTGTGTTGTTGAATTCAATTTGCTAATTGTTATTATTATTTCTGAGACGGAGTTTTGCTGTGTAGCCCAGGCTAGAGGAATGCAGTGGCACTGTCTCAGCTCACTGCAGCCTCTGTCTCCCGGGTCCCAGTTCAAGCAAGTCTTCTGCTTCAGCCTCCGGAGTAGCTGGACTTAACAGGCACACACCACCATGCCCAGCTAATTTTTAGTAGAGACAGGGTTTCACCGTGTTGGCCAGGTGAAACATGACCTCATGATCTGCCTGCCTTGGCCTCCCAAAGTGCTGGGATTACAGGCATGAGCCACCGCACCCAGACAATTTGCTAACATTTTATTGAGGACTTTTGCATCAACGCTCATCAGAAATAATGGCCTACACTTTTCTTTTCTTTTGGTGCATTTTTCTTTTCTTTCTTTCTTTTTTTGATACAGAGTCTCACTCTGTTGCCCAGGCTAGAGTGCAGTGGTGTGATCTCGGCTCACTGCAACCTCCGCCTCCTGGGTTCAAGTGATTCTTCTGCCTCAGCCTCTCAAGTAGCTGGGATTACAGGCACGTACCTCCATCCCTAGATAATTTTTGTAGAGATGGGATTTCACCATATTGTCCAGGCTTGTCTTGGACTCCTGACGTCAAGTAATCCGCCTGCCTTGGCCTGCCAAAGTGCTAGTATTACAGGCATGAGCCACTGTGCCCAGCTTCTTGTGGTGTCTTTATCTGGCTTAGGCATCAAGGTATGTTGGCCTCATAGAATTTGCTATGGGGGTATTCCTTCCAGCTGTATTTCTTTGAAGAGGTTAAGATTACAGCTCATGCCTGTAATCCCAACACTTTGGGAGGCTGAGGAGGGGAGTGGATCACTAGGTCAGGAGTTCAAGACTAGCTTGGCCAATATAGTGAAACCCTGTCTCTACTAAAAATACAAAAATCAGCTGGGTGTGGTGGCAGGTGCCAATAGTCTCAGTTACTTGGGAAGCTGAGGCAGGAGAATCACTTGAACCCAGGAGGCGGAGGTTGCAGTGAGCTGAGATCATGCCACTGCACTCCAGCTTGGGCGACACAGTGAGACTCTGTTTCAAAAAAAAAAAAAGTATTGTATTAATTATTCTTTAGAATTCAGCTGTGAAGTCATCTGGTCCTGAGCTTTTTCTTTGTTGGGAGTTTTTAAATTACTACTTTAATCTATTTGTTTTGGTCTGTTCAGGCTATTCCTGATTCAATCTTGGCAGATTATATTTTTAAAGGAATTTGTGCGTGTCCTCTAGGTGACCAAATCTGTTTGCATAATTGTCCATCATAATCCCTTATGATCCACCTTATTTCTCAGACATCTGTTATAATGTTTACACTTTCATTTCTGATTTTATATATTTGATTCTTTTTTTCAGTCTAGATAAAAGTGTGTCAATTTTATTTTTTTCAAAAAAACAACTCTTCATTTTATAAATTTTTTCTATTCTCTATTTAGTTTTTGTCTAATCTTTATTATTTCCTTCCTTTGGGTTTAGTTTGTTCTTTTTCTAGTTCCTTGAGGTTTAATGCTAGGTAATTTATTTGGGGGACTTTTTTTTTTTTTAATGTGAGCATTTATTGTGAGAACTATCCTCATTTAATCCTTTTGGGTTCCTCTGCATGCTGGCCTCAAAAGTATGAATACTCTTCCAGGGATTCTTGGGATTCACTACATCTTTTCCTTCCTACAGAAGCCCATGGAGGAGAGGCACCAACAGGTCTAAAGGACTCCAGTGACACATTTTGGCTTCTGCACAGTTTTTTTTCCAGCCTTGGTATGCCTGCTTCCTATTCCCTCCTAACACAATAGTCTAGGTGTCAGACCTAAATGAACTATTTGTAAAAATCCATATACTTCTCCACATACCTAGATTCTAAAAGGCGTCTGAGCCCTGCCTGTGAGATCTCCCTGGAGACCAGCTCACTGCCTTCAATGCATGCACTGTCCTTGAAACTACCTTTGCAAAATTATGACTCAGACAGTGAAAGAAATCTAACTTAACTGACTCCATGTTGCTTCTAACCTCCAAGCTGTACTTGTTCATTCCTGGGTGTAGGCCGAACTAACTTTGGGAGAAACTTATAGTTTAAACTAAGACAGTAACAGCCCTTTCCCAAAGCAGACTTACTTCTTGGCTGGGGACTAGATTGCCTTTGTAGGACTAACATTGGCCATAAGATTAGCAATTATGGTTTAGGAGGCATGCAGCTGGAGGCTACAAGATTCTGACCCTCCCTAAACTGCTCCTGAGATCAGTGCTTGGGATATTTTGTAGACCCTGCACTTGATGGACCAGCTGGCACCACCCAAATCAATAAACTGGCTCATTTGAACTTGCAGTCCCCACCCAGAAACTGACTCAGCGTAAGAAGACAGCTTCGGCTCCGTATGATTTCATCTCTGACCAATCAGCACCCCTGGCTCACTGGCTTCCCCACGACCCACCAAGTTATCCTTAAAAACTCTGCTTCCTGAATGCTCGAGGAGACTGATATTTGTAATAATAAAACTCTGGTCTCAGGCTCTGCGTGAATTACTCTTTCTCTATTGCAATTCCCCTGCTCTGTCTAGGCAGTGGGCAATGTGAACCCCTTGGGTGGTTACACGCTGACCTTGCAAGCTAGGTCCTTAAGTGCCTCCTCACATAGTTAAGCTTTTTGAAAAAGTGTGTATACTTGTGGCTCGGAAGCACATTCCTAAGCCCATCCCCCACAAATTCGGATTCAGTGGGCCTGGGAGGGACACAGGAATTTGTACTGTTGTGTCACTCTGCATGGTGACTCTAATGTGCAGCCATGCTCGGAACCACATCCTGCAACTCTCCCCTTATTGCCCATTGCTCTTGCATTTCCACTTTGGGTTTGTGGTAGAGACTGTTAACTGGCCCCTAATACCCATTCTTTACTTCTTTGGGTTAATAATAGAGCACCCTGAGTTTCATCTGGGCGTGTGGCTAAGCTACAAAGTCTATTTCCCAGCTGTCCTCCACCCTCGAGCCAGTGGGATGCAAAGGGAAGTGGTATGCACAACTCTGGGTCACCTTAAAGACACAGCTTCTTGCCATGGGCTTCACCTTGCCTTTTCCCGCTGGCTGAGAAGGACCACTGTTGCAGCAGCTGCACCCAGAGATGGAAGTTTCATATGGATAAGGCCACAGATTTCATCTTTGACTTCAGTAAGAGGGAACTAAACATCTAACTTATTTAAAACTCTGAATATTGGAATCTTTTTGTTTTGGGTTATCCTATACCCTTATCAAACATTATTCCAAAAGCACCTCCAACTAAAGAGTCCACAACTGAAAACACCCTTTTCTTTCCTTAAAGCAGCTAAGACTAGCTAAGAGACTGTCTCCCCTTTTAAAAGTTAATGGCTGAGGCCAGCACAGTGGCACACTCCTGTAATCCCAGCACTTTGGGAGACTGAGGTGGGCAGATCACTTGAGGTCAGAAGTTCAAGACCAGCCTGGCCAAACATGGTGAAAACCCATCTCTACTAATAATACAAAAATTAGCTAGGTGTGGTGGTATGTGCCTGTAATCCCTGCTACTCAGGGGTGGGGGGTTGAGGCAGGAGAATCTCTTCTTTTTTTTTTTTTTGAGACGGAGTTTCGCTCTTGTCACCCAGGCTGGAGTGCAATGGCGCGATCTCGGCTCACCGCAACCTCCGCCTCCTGGGTTCAGGCAATTCTCCTGCCTCAGCCTCCCGAGTAGCTGGGATTACAGGCACGCACCACCATGCCCAGCTAATTTTTTGTATTTTTAGTAGAGACGGGGTTTCACCATGTTGACCAGGTTGGTCTCAATCTCTCGACCTTGTGATCCACCCGCCTCAGCCTCCCAAAGTGCTGGGATTACAGGCTTGAGCCACCGCGCCCAGCTAGGAGAATCTCTTGAACCCGGGAGACGGAGGTTGAAGTGAGCCAAGATTGTGCCACTGTACTCCAGCCTGGGCAACAAGAGTGAGACTCTGTCTCAAAAATAAATAAATAAATAAAAATAAGTGGCTGGGAATAAATGAGGTCTAAACACAAAGCTAAACACCAGGGCAGCAGATGTCTGCCTGAATCTCTGGGTCATCTTTGATGGAGGAAAGTTATGTGGAGACTTGTAAGCTGGGTTGACTAAAGTCTCTCTGGCCATTGGTCTAACATACCTGCTCTTGGTTGAGCTGACGACAGACATGGGATGGTTGATGTCATCTTTCACCACCATGATGTTGTTCTGAGGACAGAGCAGAGAGAGTCAGTGGCCAGCTCCTCCCACTAAACTCCTTTTGCTCTCCCACTCCTCTAGCTGCCAGGACTCTCAGAGAAGGGCCACATCACAGAGGTGCACTAGCAGGAGAGAGGACTCACTTTGTATTTGCGGAGTATTGAGGAGTGATTCATGATTCGGTCTGTGTCGGCCGCATCCCGGGGCACCACCACAATCCCAAAGTCTCCAACAATCACCTCCATCTGAAGAAAGAGAGAGAGGGCCCTTTAGTAAAACCATAAGCCCAAACTCCTACAACGCAATGACTTAGCGTGGCAGAATCCTCTCCCGTTCTTCCACATGGAACCCCAGGCTTTAGTCCTAAACTGGCCTTTTTCTCAGCCCCATCAGCGAGCTCCTTCAAGGAACACCCTTAACAGTGTTAACAGAATAAGTGAAAACATTGCCTGACACAAAGAAGTTGCTTAATAAATACTCTAGATGTCAGGAATAAATGAATTCTTACATTTCTGGGCAAGATCTCTCCAATTCCTGAGACTCCCATTGAGTGCACAATGCTGCAGAAGCCTATGAATGATGTCACGTCCTTACCTGGTAAACACCCTCCGGAGTGAAAGAGACCCCTCTGTTCAGCACGCATATTTGAGGCCACAGATGGATGTCAAGAGAGGGACTAAACATTTTTCTGTCTCACCCTCATAAAAACTGCTGGGGGACTCAAGGGCAGTGAAGAGCAATAAGTGCTTGGAATGCATCCCTGGGCACCCAGGCTGTGGTAGGGAGAGCATGATGATGATTAGGGTCACTTCAGAGATCAGCCTTTGATAGAAGCTTTCATTTCTCCATATGAGAAATGAAACTTTTTGTTCGTTTGTTTTGAGTCATGGTCTCACTCTGCCACCCAGGCTGGAGTGCAGTGGCATGATCATGGCTCACTGCAGCCTCGACCTCCTGGGCTCCAGCAATCCTTCCACCTCAGCCTTCCAAATAGCTGAGACCACAGGCACATACTCCCATGCCTGGCTAATCTTTTTTATTATATTTTTGTAGAGAGGGGATCTTGCTATGTTGGCCAGGCTGGTCTCAAACTCCTGGGCTCAAGTGATACTCCCACCTCAGCCTCCCAAAGTATTGAGATTACAGGCATGAGTCATTACACCTAGCCAAAACCTTCTTCTAATGTAAAAGAAATAACATTTTTATTTTCTGACTGTGGATGCAATGCAAGCTTAGGAATCCAGAAAAAAAAATACCAATCAATTACAACCATACAATCCAGGTGTGTGATTGTGAACGGTCTAGTGTATATCTGTAGTTTTCTTTCTTTCTGCAAATAGGTGTCTATATCCACAATTGGATTAAACTATAAAATTAGTCGTTTTACTTAACGTTTTTCCATTTAGTATTATTGCATTTTGAGCATTTTCTCACATTGTTAAAAATTATTTGGAAACATAACAATCTGTATATTTTATACTATGTTATATTAAACTGGTCCTATATTGTGCAAAGTTGGACAGTTACTTCTGATTTTTTGCAATTATACATAACACTTTAATGAAGATCTTTATACATAAATATTTTATCACATCTCTGATTATTTCCTTAGGGAAAGAAATGATATAATTGAATATAAACTGGACATAATTCTTGAGACATATCACCAAGTTGCTTTCTGGAAATTTCTGCCAATTTTTTATTTTGAAAGAGCCTGAAAATTATGGCACTTAATAGACTTGGATCTAGCCTGGGCATATTACTGTTTAGATCTTGGACAATGCCTGCTTTGAGGGCTAGGGACCCAGATTTTTTCCCATAATCCTCTAAACAAGTGGCACAAAAACAGATACACGGGGTCACGGTGGCCCCTTCTCTCCAGGGGATTTCTGCAGAGGATTTCTTCTCTCCAGCAGAATTCCATTTCTAAACCTGATTTATTGGTTTTGTGTGTGTGTGTGTGTGTTTGTGTGTGCACTCCTGAATATTTCTGTCCACCTTTACGCTGCTTCTCCTATTGCTTACAACTAGACCCAGACTTGAAGCTGGAGTGCTGATGTTGCCAACATTAAAAATTGGCTGAAAGTGTCTTAGGAGGAAAGTTGTAGAGAGAAGTTAGAAAGCTAGGTGTAGAATATCAGAGCACCACTGGATCATGTAATCTGGAAGATATAGAGCATTGCACAACACAGCACAACTACTGTTGGTGTTCAGATCAGGTAAACTGGTACCAAGTCTCTTGTCTTATAAACCAGAAACGGTAGGGAGAGGCAGGGCAGTTGGAGTTAGAGCCAGCTCCTCCTGCCATGGCGTTTAGGATATTGCACTGGGACTCTCTACTTAGACACTGGTTCTCAAACTTGGCTACATATTAGAATCACCTGAAGGACTTCAAACAAAGTCAGCTCACACCTGAGATCAGTTAAACCAGACTCTCTGGGGCTGGGACTCAGGCAGCAGTATTTCTTTACATTCCCCAGATGATATCAATATGCAACAAAGCTGTTGAACCAGTGGTCTAAGCACTGAAGTAAAGGTCTGGGGAAATTGGCAGAGAAAGAGATAGAAAAGAGAGGAGGAGAGGAGAGGGGAGAAGAGAGAATCCATCCAAGCTGGTATCCATGGGGATCCCTAAACTGCATGGCTGTGTAGATGTTTCAACATTATCTAGTATAAATTGCATAATGTAGGATCTGCCTTCAAATTGATTCTGTAAACTTGATGAATGTTTCATATATGATGTTTGTAATAATGGGTCTATAGAAAGTGAGCATTCTAGTTTAAATCATGAAAATAATGGCTCGGAATAGCAGTCCTCGTGGGGCAATTGCCCTGTGGGTGACATCAGTGCAGCTGCTGCTCTCCACTCAGTACCTAATGATCTGAGCGCCCAATCAATAACTGTGCCAGGCTGTTCAGTGGGTGGCAAGCAGATGGAGGCCTTTCTGCTTAAGATGTTTTCCTTTTCCAAAAACAGTGACAGACTTGTCCCTGGGAATCACAGATGGGTCAAGGGAGACAGGATCTATGAGACAAGATCTACAGCTTTAGGGGATCAGGGCGGGGGTTCAGGCCAGAGACTGCAGATGCTCTCTGCTCCTGTTTTTGTGGCAACTGTTTGGAGGATTATGTGAGAAAATCTGGATCCCTTGCCCCCAAAATCAGGCCTTACTCAATAAGCTACGCTGCTTAGAAACAGTTTTCCTGCTGGAGGGTATTTGTGTGTGTGTGTGTGTGTGTGTGCATGTGCGTGTGTGTGTATGCATGTATGCATGTTAAGAAAGGGAAGGTACTAGGTGCTAGAGTTGGTGAGATGTGCCCTCAGGCCAATGAGTACCCATCTCCCTCCAGGAGCTCAGCTGTCGTTCCCACCCCAACCCCCCACTGCCTGCCTTCACCAGGCCTCCAGACACTACCCTGTCCTGGTCTTCCTCCTACCTCTCTGGCTGCTGGCTACTCCTGTTTGGCCCCCTGTGCTAATTCCTCCTTTTCTATGCCTTTGTGTCACTGGACTCCTCCAGGCCTCCATCCCTGGACGTTCTTTCTTTTCTATCCACACTCACACCCTTCATAATTACAAAGCTTTAAAAGCACACTACAGGCTTCCAAATTAACATTTCCAGCATTAACTTCTCTCCTGAACTGCAGGCTCCTATATCAGCTGCCTTCTCAACATGCTCACTTGGATAGGGCATTGCAAACACAGTATGTCCGTAAGCTCCTAGACCCGCTAATGTAAACAGTTAAACCAACCACTCCCCTCAAAGAAATGGTTTTTCTATAAGCTTTTTCATAAATAGAAATTCTCTTATAATTGCTCAGACAAAAAGCTTTGATATTTTCCTTGATTCCTCTCTTTCTCTCATATCCCACATTCAGTCTATAAATTAGTCCAATGGACTCTACCTTCTAAACAAATCCAAGAATCTGCTCATTTCTCACCATGTCCATCCCTTCTGTATCAGTCCAAGCCTCTTCTGGTAAGCTGAATAATGAACCCGAAAGATATCCAGGTTCTAATCCCTGGAACCTGTGAATATGGCAAAAAAGACTCTGCAGATATGATTAAACTAAGAATCTTGAGATTATCCTGGGTTGTCTGGGCAGGCCCTAAATGCAATAAGTACCCTTACAATAGGCAGAAGGAGACCGGACCCAGAAGAGAGACGATAATGAGAAGTTGGAGCAGAAAGAGATTTGAAATGATACACTGCGAGCCTTGAAGTTGGAGGAAGGGACCGTGAGCCAATGAATGCAACAAATGCAGCTCTAGAAGCTGGAAAAGTCAAGGAAACCAGTTTTTCCCTAGATCCTCTGGAGGGAGCACGGCCTTGCCAACAGCTTGGTTTGGACCCAGTGAAACCTATTTCAGACTCTGACTTCCGGGACTGTAAGAGAATAAAGATGTGTTATCCTAAGCCACCAAGTTTGCAAAACTAGGAAACTAGTTCACCTCTATCATCTCTCCTTTGGATTGCTCTGGTCTCTCATTATTTTCTTGCCTTTTTAAATCTATTTCCAATAGCCAGACTGGTAATATTAAAATATAAGCCAAATTATGTTGCTCCTTGGCTCAAAATGTTTCACTTAAATGTTACTTTCTTGGTGAGATCCTCTCTGGCCACTCTAATTAAACCCGCATCCCTTGTGCTCTCCCACCCCTTAAGCCTAAATTCTCACCAGAGTTGCACTTTCACCCTTTGGGTTCTCTAGGCAGCACTAAGGTAGCTGGCAAGAACAACTGCTTTACAAAAAGTGGCAAAAAGGGAGCCAAGAAGAGAGCACTTGATCCACTTTGTAAGACGGGTATGGTGTGAAAACACCAGCTATATGTTCCACATAAGAAATAATGAAAAAATGATAAAGGGGATATCACCACAGATTCCACAGAAATCCAAACCATCATCAGAGATTATTACAAACAACTCTATGCACATAAACTAGTAAACCTGGAAGAAATGGATAAATTCCTGGACACCTGCATCCTCCCAAGCCTAAACCCGGAAGAAGCCAAAACCCTGAATAGACCAGTAACAAGGTCTGAAGTCGAGGCAGCAATAAAGAGCCTACCACCCAAAAAAAGCCCAGGTCCACATGGGTTCACAGCCAAATTCTACCAGACATATAAAGAGGAGCTGATACCATTCCTTCTGAAACTATTCCAGACAATCCAAAAAGAGGGAATCCTTCCCAAATCATTTTATGAGACAAACATCATCCTGATACCAAAACCCGGCAGAGACTG